CTAGAAAAGAAATTATTTTTTTCTTTTTTTACAGATTAAAAAGGGATCCAGCTATAGCCTTAAGAGAAAAAAAATAAATTAAGAGAGCCACAACCAATGACGCTAAAGAAAATATCAAAAGATTTTATAAGTAAACAAATAATAAAACAATCTCCAATCTTAGAAAATTATATTCCACAGGAAATTGATTCTGATGGTAATTGCTTTTACCGGGCGATTTCAATAACTTTATATAAAACACAAATACATCACATTTTTTTAAGACTAATAACGGCAATAGAAATAATTTTGAACCCACAATATTATGATAAAAATCATTCGGTTTTTTCAAAATCTATAAAATTAATCAATATATGGATAAGTGAGTATGAGTTACTCGATTCGGCTATGAATATAAATGTTTGGGCTGAGCAAATGCATATATGCGCATTAAGTGCAGCTCTTGGCAAACCAATTCATGTATTTTGCCCAGCAAATTTATTAAAAGCTTTTACCGATATCCTTTATGGCAGGGGAGTGAGCCAGAGTTCAAAGCCTCATATATTAATAATGTGGACATCTACCATATGTCCAAATGATATATTTAATTTAAGAATCAATCACTTTGTATCTCTTATATTAAATAATTATAATAATACATTAACAATAAAACCCCAATCCAACAATACTATAAAAGATTTATCATTTTTGATAGAAAATATTCTAAAAAACCATGTAGCAAAGATATCCGAATAAAATCTTTACCATTTTTTTCAAACAAATATTATAGCCGAAGGAGGTCATCCATCCAAACTACGGTTTTTTTTAAACATTGTAAAATCCATAAAAATTTTGCTTTCTAAGAATATATTGTACGAAATACCTTTAGGTATAAAATATAATGTGTATTTTTTTATTTCTAATAAGAATTTTACAAATTATAAGAATAAAAATTTATATATAGATGATTATGGACCATGGACGGGTTCAAAATCAAGCTCATAAAATTATATTATAATATATATAACGATAATGTCCAAGGTCCATATATTTTTAGGCCTATTTAGGCAGGACACTCGCCTAGATGGTTCTAGAATTTTTAAAAAAAATAGAACATCAACCTTTAACCAAAAATTTTATTGTTCTTTATAAATATTATAGTATTTTAAAGAGAAGTAAAGAGTATAAACGTCGCATTTTAAAAATTAATTTTATTGAAAACCCTAATCATGATGTTAAAGATATATATTTAGTAGAATATGTAGGATTCCAAAAAAATTGTAAATCCTTATGTACGGACATCAAATCAGTTATTATCGAATATTAAAAATCAAATAAAGGACAATCAAACATGTCGCAATATTTAATAATTATATATTTCAAAAAGACCCTATTAAACCAAAAAATTTAAAACAAATTTATAAAAATTATAAGCTTAAAAGATACAAAAATACCTCTAAATTTCGCCGATAATATTTTACACATTTTATTCAATCAATCATTCATATCAAAGACAAAACACCATCGATAATTTGCTATAACTCATTTTATTAAAACTATAAAGTTTTTTTCAAACCAAGCTGACATTTGTATATTAGGCGTTGATAAAACATTTAATTTGGGTGATCTATACCCTTACTGCTATAGTATTTAGACATAGAGCAGTTAAGAGATATAAAACAGACGAATCCCCAATATTTTTAGGACCAATATATTTGCATGGAGATTCTGATATGACCACCTATCATACTTTTTTTTCTCATTTTCATTCTGCATTTTTAAAAAATAAAATAAATATTAAAAATATCATATTTGGTAGTGACCAAGAAAAGGCTATAGTAAAACCTATTCGGGAAATATTTAAATTTAATACTCATTTAATATGCACGCGTCATTTAAAAGACAATATAAGATTGTCGGAAAAACAAGGTGTAAATGCTGTTATGTCTAAAAAAATGATACAGGATATTTTTTCTTTTAATTGGCTTGTATTTTCTCGGAATGACCAAATATATAATGAAAAATTAAATGATTTATATAATTATTGTAATAATCAAAATTTAAATATATTTTTGGCATATATAAAAAATAAATTTCAAAAAGTAATTTATGAACATGTTTACATTCCCCTAAAAAATAAAACAATAAATTGTTTATGAACAAATAACAACTGCGAATCTATGAACAACTTCCTTTAAAAGAATTAATCGAAAAAATTAAAGATACAACAATGTTAAATTTGAAAGATCCTTCTTAGGAACAGGAGAATATTTTTTAAATAATGAGTATCATAACTATTTATTTCCCGAATCGATAGATTGTCATGATACATTAAATTATTTATTTAATAGTAAAAACAAAGATAAATTACATTCATTAGATAAAACCTTATCTGTTTTAAAACCAAAAGGCTCAAAAAAACCACATCAGCGACGTAGAATTAAAGCAAAAAAGACTCGAAAAAATAATATAATATAAAATGAAATAAATGATATTTATCTAATGGAATTAATATTCTAGCTTTTTGGTTGTACAATGATAACGTTTTATTTTTACATGATTATTAAGTGAAGTATTAAATGTATCATAACAATCTACTGATTCGGGTATTAGAAATTAGAATATTAATTATTTAATAAATATTCTTCTCACTCTCTGAGATTTATCTTTCAAATTCTTTCTCTTAGATCATTGTAATATCTTTAATTCTGTCGTTTAATTCCTTTAAAGGGTTTTTAAATTAATATATTATGTATGGTGAAAAATTTTAGTTCATTTTTACAATAGTTGCTTAAATCACGTAAACTTTTTATTATGGCCATCCATTAAAATAAAAATTATGTTGTGTAATTTTTTAGACATAATAGCATTTACAAATTTTTTATTGGAATATTTCGCGAATCGGGTTTACTCTTTTAGGGTCCTACACTTATATTTTTCCAATTTGCTTTATTTCTTATCGTTAATTTATTTTATTATTTTAGTTCATTAATATATTTAGAATGCATTTATGAACTCATTATTTAATATTTTATAAATTTCGTTATTATGAAAATATTTATTATAAATTTTAATTCCCTATGATTTTTGCATGCCCTTCGCCCATTAAAGTAACAGATATACTTTATCAATATACATAATTAGATTTATAATATAGTGAACTTGCTGTTTATTTTTCCCGACCTTCGCCTGCCCCTTTCCTATGTTTCTAGAATAACGAATATTATTTATTTCGTCAATATATAATTATATTATCCTAAATTTATATTTTAATCATCTCTTCACCGATGCCAAACAAATTATATTTTATGTGAATAATCATTTATATTATAACAGCATTATTTTATATATATTGTGAAATTATGATTTATAATTATGCATCAATAAAAAGAATTACTCTCTTTATTAATTACTCTGATCAATGGAAATGGCAAAATTTAAAAAAGGCTACTAATTTATTTACTAAAATATAGAAAAGAATACAATAAAAAAAACACCGGTAGACATTTTAGTGCATCTTAGTAGAATAAGTTAAAATAGACCATTCCAAAATTTTTTTTTCTAAATTTGAATGATAAAATATATTAAAAACGTCATCTAGAGGATAGAAAAATATTCTTTACTATCATGAATAAAAATTATGAGTAAATTTTATTTTATAAATGTATTGAAGCTATAATATCTGAAACAGAATCCGTATAATAATTTATTCAGCAAGATACTAGTTAGTCATCAAAATTTGCTTTCCACTAACTAGTCTGTTTAAGATCATATTTACTAATATCTTATACACTATTTAATGAAATTCTCATCCAGTCTTCAAGAAATTTAGGGTTCTTTGTTTTTGGGAAGTTGATCAGGATAGCTGTAAGCCAATCACTAGGATAAGTCCCTTTCTTCTATACTCTGATAATGATTGAGAGGAGGATCTCCGCGCATAACATTGGATCCGCCTGTACTCGCTATATATCTTATCCTGACCTCAAGCCTTATGATTTTTAGTTATTTTTATAATACTTACTATTTCACTTTTGATAGGGAGGAACAGTCTCAATGTTTATACTTAGTACAGTAGAAGAATTGTGTACTTGACGTAAATTGGGTCACGTTACTAAGTTGGTGTGTTGATTTAGGAGGCCAACGTGGTAGTATAAAGAATTTATCTCATTAAGAAAAAATTTTATTAAACACATTCATTATTTTTATATTTTTGGTAAAAATTAATAATATAGACGCCATTTAGCGGATTGAATATTATTTTACTTTTATAAATAAAAAAGGATTATGACTAAATTTAATTTTATAAAAGTATTGAAGCTAAAATATCTAATAGGTAATTTATTATACCTGTCCAAATATTTATTTTATTTATAAAAACTAATAATTCTCAATTAATATTAAGATAATGAAAGCTCACTAGAATATGACCGGAAATATAATTTATAAATAAAGGAGTATTTATAGCCGAGCGATATTTAGTAATAAATAATTTATTATGTCGTTAGCCGAGCTACATTTCTCAGCCGAGCGATATATAATAATAAATAATTTATTATGTGATTAGACGAGCAACAGTTTTCAGCCGAGAGATTTTTTAGTAATAAATAATTTATTATGTTGTTAGCCAAGCCATATTTAGTAATAAAATAATTTATTGTGTGGTTAGCCGAGCGATAACCATCCTCTTTTTTAAGGTCCAGGTGACGATATTTTTAGCGGTTTAGATACGACTTGGGTTCGATTAATAATAATGGTTTATATTTCTGTTTGGATCCCCGCATTAAACATAATATAATTCATTTGTATTTCCAACTTATATAATAGAATTATTGCCTTTATTTAATATTCTTTTCCTTTCAAATTTCGCTTAAAAGTGGTAATAATAAAATGATCGAATGATGATATGTCCAATAATATAGTCTTTTACATTATGAATCAGGAAATAATAAAAAAGATAGTAAAATCTAAAAAACGGAATAAATTTTTTTTTTAAATTGATTTTACTAACATATTTTATACAGATTTGTACAATACCCGGATAGTTCCCTCTAATCACTTCGACGTTTTAAAGGACGACTTTGATTGTTGGATTATAATAGCGGTTTTATTAGCGTTAGCTTTAGCCTCTTACATTACCCAAAAGCTGGCCGCCAGGAAGGAACTCAATATGGCCTGGGAATAAATCAACCATTAAATTCATGTTCAAATCGATTTTCATTATATCTTAACATTATGTCTCGTTTAAAAATGTTTTTAATTTTAGACAAATTATTCAAAATAAAACGCTATATTTTTTTTATAGCTTTCAAATAAATCCTATTTTATGTTTGAGATTCTTGAGATAATTTAATCTCAACATCCTGACCCCCCCCCTACACAACCTTGCTTTTGATTTAGTTAACAACAGGAGGTTACATTTTATATTAAGTCTCCCAATTTTTAATTCCTCTAATCCATTTTTACTTAGCGAAAATTTTATCCTATATTTTTTTCATAATTTATTTTTTATAAATTACATCGAAAATTTGCTCCAATCATTAAACAATAATACAGATTGTAAATCAATTGTTTTAAAAACTCTTGTAAACGGTTATCTCGATTACAAGCACAATTATGTAAAATAAAAGGTTATATTGCAGTAGTCAACCATTTGAAAGGTATATATTGCCTTATGCTAGAAAATCGTATTAGTACAAGAGATATTTGAAAAATTTTAAATAACACATGTTAGTTATTTAGATTTCATTTTTTAAAACAAGCAGGTTCACCCCACACTAGTTTTTTCAAGCCCGGCCTGAAATTTTTTCTAAAATAGTTTTGCTGGCCCTGTCCGAACCCAAAAAAATTTACCGGCCCGGCCCGAATTTATTTAAATATATAAATTAATTTTTATAATTACTCAAAATAAAAGACATATGTTATATGACGTTAAGTTTCAATAAATAAAATCAAATATTTTTATTTTACATAAAAAATTTAATATAAAATTGATAAATTTAGATATATTTTAAAAAAATTTCCAAGGTCTGAACCGACCTGGGTTGAATTTTTTTTAAAATATTAGACCCGGCCCGAACCCGATTATTTTTAATAGAATCAGACGCGAGCCCGGCCTAAAGCCCGGGCCGGGCCAAACTTTGCAGATCTCTACCCCACACCTTAATAATCAATTTTTGCCAAAAATGTTTAAAAAACGGGCCAAATAAAATCACATTTTACTAGCAGCTGCACCAGGAAATTATAATAAATTTTAACCTTTGAAGGTCTCGCTAAAATTAAAAGCTCTTCTTTATTTATAGTCCTCATCCTTTCTGTAATTATAGAAAGGAATAACTCCTCTTAATCACCCCCTTTTTAGGTTTTATATCCCATTTACCTGTCTTAACACTAATAATGGGAATACTATTATTTACAACCCTCTCAAGAAACTTAGGGTTTTATCAAATATGAACTTATGATGTAACATAATGATAAACTTGGATTCTATAAATATTTTATTTACGTTAATATTTATTAGTATTTCTACTGTTGTCCTTTATTTTATTTTACCTCTGGAATCTGAAATGTTTAAATTTAAAATTATATTTAACTGGATTCTGAAGGGTTCTCTTCCAAACTGTTTAGTTAGATATTTATAAATTAGTCATATGAATGGAAATGGAGCTAGAAACAATAATCCATGAACATTTAATAGTTATTAGTGAACATTTCCTTTTTCTTAATTTACTCTTATAGTCAGACGGATGGGCAAATTCTCCCCCGTTTGCACGCATGATTTTTTCCCCAGTTTATGGAATTATATATATGGTTGAATTCCATGGCAAATCAACATGATTTTCAACCCTACTCCCTTAGATTTTTTTAAATTTTTACTAGAGTTTGCATATATTATAATTAAGAAATTTTTTTTAGTTTCCAGCTAGCGGCTGATATATGGGTCTCTAAAGGTTGAAAAATATGATATTTTGGGCAAAATGATCTCCCTTTAATTTTAAATACCTTTGGATATAATTAGGCTAGGAGCGTCATTATAAATATTGTTTAGAAAAATTTAAATATCAAAAGCTGAAGATGATGATAAGATCAAATGGACATCTTTTTCTCTCTCAATTTTTATATATATAGCTATAGAATTAAACAGGGTTGACAAGTCGGTCAATTGACTAAAGGAGTATTTAACCAGGTCATATACTCTAAAATGTTATTGATTAATAACTATATTGATTTAATTAACTAATATGTATTTAAAGTTTATCAATCTAATTAGATTACAATTTATAAAATATACTTGTTTCATCAAGGCATCATTATAATTTTGTATTAAAATATAAGATTTTCATGTTTAAAATATTAGAATTTTATTTTAAAATATAAGAATAGTGTTGTTAAAAAGTCGAGTTCATCCGACTCAGAGTCTCGAGTGGAATTAGTCGACTAACTAAAGTCGACTCGAGATATAAACTCAAGTCGTAAACTCAAGTTCATAAAATATTAAGTTGACTAGAGGACGAATATTTTATGAACTTGAGTCGACTAGAGGACGAATATTTCAGATTTATTATTATTAAGATGTTTGTTGTTTTTTACATTTTTTTTACTTTAGACTAGCTCCGTGAAGTTGGTCGAACATTTGGAAGCACTAACGATGAATCATATGTCATTTTTTAGTGCTTCGTTAGTGCATATTAGTGCTTTAATCCGAATAGTAGCTGAATTTAAAAAAAAGGTTATAAGGAAAAATAAAAATTTGCGCCAACTTCACGCTTAAAAGTTAACTGAAAGCACTAACGATGAAACTTATATCATTCTTTAGTGCTTAGTTAGTAGAGGTTAGTGCTTCAATCACTTATGTAGCCAAATTTAAGAATAAAAAGTTATTGGCGAAAAAAACAAATATAGGCGATGTGCCAAAACAAAAACTAGAGTAGTACTAAACATTTTTTGCCATTATTTAGTGCTTAATTAATGTATTTAAATTCCGTTATTAATTTGATTAACCGCCATAGGGAAAAAAGTTATAAGCTAAATAAAAATTATTACGTCACGATTTAAGCGTGAAGTTGGCCAAACTTTTGGAAGCACTAACGATACAAAAATAAACAAATAATGGCTACGTGCTAAAACAAAAACTATAGTAGTACTAAATATCCGGTTTTCGCCATTATTTAGTGCTTAATTAGCAAATTTGAATTCCGTAATTAATTTGGTTAACCGTCTTTATAAAAAATTGTAATACGCTAAAGAAATGTTTAGAGGTTAAATTATGGCCAGAAAATTATGAAAGCACTAACGATGAAATTTATATCCTTCTTTAGGGCTACCTTGGTAGAAGTTAGTGCTTCAATTACTTTTGTAGCCGAATTTAAGAATAAAAAGTTATTTGCGAAAAAAACAAATAATGGCGACGTGCCAAAACAAAAACTATAGTAGTATTAAACATCCGGTTTTCGCCATTATTTAGTGCTTAATTAGCAAATTTGAATTCCTTAATTAATTTGGTTAACCGTCTTTATAAAAAATTGTAATACGCTAAAGAAATGTTTAGAGGTCAAATTATGGCCAGAAAATTTTTAAAGCAATAACGATGAAATTTATATCCTTCTTTAGGGCTTCCTTAGTAGAGGTTAATTCTTCAATCACCTTTGTAGCCGAATTTAAGAATAAAAGTTATTTGCGAAAATAACAAAAATAAATAAATAATGGCGACGTGCCAAAACAAAAACTATAGTAATACCAAACATCCGGTTTTCGCCATTATTTAGTGCTCAATTAGTAAATTTGAATTCCGTAATTAATTTGGTTAACCGTCTTTATAAAAAATTGTAATACACTAAGGATTATGAAAATATATATAATTATAAAATATGTATTAAAAACTAATTAAAAAAATTATAATTTATAATTATATAATTAAAAATAAAATTCTATAATTGTGTCCCCAAAAAGGAACCATAATTGTGTCTAAAAATTTCTGAATTTTTTGTCGAATAAAAAGAAATTCTCTGGGTTTATTTTTGAAAAGTCATATTTTATTACCCAGATTTTTTAAAAACATAAATGTTGAAGGCGAAAAATGCCCGTTATTAGAAGTCACTACTGGAGTGAATATGAAGTTTTTAAAATTTTTGTATTTGTTTATCTTTTTAATTTCTGCCTGTGTTATTAAATTGAAATTTATGTTTGAAGGGAAAGATGAGTCACACGTGTAGTCCCAATGAGTCATTTGCCGAGGGCCCAAGGTATGGTTGTCATACCATCAGGTCTTAAACCATCTACTTGAGATAAATTTGATGGTTCAAGATTGTTTGGAATGTGTGCAGCTGTTAGACTTCTATTTATTATATGGTTTACAGCTGAGTGTTGATTTATTAATCACATGTGGGAAATTCTATGGTTAATTTTTTATATTACTCAAAAACTTTTTGATTACTTGTTAATTTTTATAGTATTTAACACATTTCCATAATGTGAAACATTCTTATATAGTTAAATAACTTTCCATAATTATTGTAAAAAACATTTTGATTTTGATATAATTTTTAAAAAAAAATTTTTAATAATAAAACTTTAATAAAGACGAACGTCAAATTTATGAATCGAATATAATTTTTTAATGTTTTGGTCTAAAATTTTCTTAGGCGTCGAGAAAGGTGTCATAAAATTTGAAGGATTAACATGGCAGTAATTTATCGAATCAGGGTAACTCAGAATTCCTGCATAAGTATTAATGATCTGCATCGGGCCTAATTTTTCAAGCCCGGCCCGAACCAGAAATTTTTAAAAAAAATTTACCGACCCGGCCCGTTCATGCCCGAATTTATTTAAATATAGAAAATATTTTTAAAATTACTCAAAATAAAAGACATATGTTATATGTTGTCTAGTTTCTATAAATAAAATTAAATATTTTTTTTTACATAAAAAATTTAATATATAATTGATAAATTTAGATATATTTTAAAAAATTTATAGGCCCAACCTACCCGGCTCTTTTTTAAAAAATATTAGGCCCGAACCCGATTTATTTAAAAAAAAATTACGTCTGAGCACGGTTCGACGGGTACTTCATAATATTGTGATCTTAATATAACTAAAATTTATGATAGAAATAAATATATGCGTAATTTTTTCGAATAAAATGAAACTATGTAAAAAGAAGAATTTGAATTAAGAATATAAATTTTCTGAGAATGTTTTTAACCATATCATTCAATGACACCTCAGAATAATAGATGCTGGAGAAAAAATGTAGTTGTTACAATAAAATAATAAAAATTATATAATTATTACACAAGAATGGGGTTCAATGGGCCCATTTAGGCCGTAGTAGAAATAATATTTTGTGACTTGGTTATAGCTATTCATGTATTTTGGGAACCTTATTATTTTTAAGCTTCTGAAACATTATATTACTCAAATATGGCAGATGATCTACGGAAACAATTGATAGATTAAGTGCAAAAAGACAATATGCATTTTTTAATTATTTGTGGTTTTTAATCAAACTAATTAGGGTTTAAATTTTACAAAATAAGTACTAAA